TGGAGATGGCCTCATTGTGGAGGTAGGTGGTATAGTCTAGGTTTAAAAGGAAATTTTTGCCAGATATGGTAATATCTGGGGAGGGGAGGGAAGGGGAAAAGGGGAAGAAGAAGAAAAAAGAGAAGAAAGGAAGGGAAGGGATTGGAAGAGAGGGAAAAGGAGAAGAGGAGAAAAAAAGAAAGAGAAGAGGCTATTACTCCTAAACTTTAGAATCTGAGGACTATTCAGTAGATGTTTCAACAATGGCACTCACAGCAGGCTGTCACACAACAGCATGTCTTTCCTAAAAGCAAAAGTCTAAATTTACTATGGTTATCCTCAATAACCAAGAGCAAACATCAAAAGGGAAATATATATATACCTATATATATATATTTCATATAGCAGTTTTATGTGCAATGGCTTCAAACTGGAAATGATCTCTGGATCATTTAGCAGGTGCATGGCTCAACAAACTTGTCCATACACATGGGGTACTACACAGCAACAAAAAGGAAGGAGCCACGGGTACATGGAACACCTGCCTGAGTCTCCACAGAATTATGACTGTGCAACAAGACAGTCCCAAAAGGTGACACACTGTCTGGTCCCACTTAAACAACACTGTAATGATAGAGTTACAGAAATGGAGACTATATGACTGTGCTAGGGTTGTCAGGGATTATGGAGGAGGTGGGGACAGGGGAGAAGTGGGTGTGGCTATACAAGGACCTCCTGCAAGGCCTGGGTATTTAGGGACACTTAAAAAAAATAATTTTAGGGCTGAGAAGGTGGCTCAGTGGTTAAAGCGCTTGCCTTGCATGCCTGAGGCCCTGGGTTCGATTCCTCAGCACCACATAAGAAAAAAGCCGGAAGTGGCGCTGTGGCTCAAGTGGTAAAGAGCTAGCCTTGAGCTGAAGAGCTGAGGGACAGCACCCAGGCCCAGAGTTCAGGCTCCACGACTGGACCCAAAAAAAAAAAAAGCACAAAAAAATAATAATTTTAGGGCTGGGAAGGCAGCTCAGTGGTAGAGCGCTTGCCTTGCATGCCTGAGGCCCTGGGTTCGATTCCTCAGCACCACATAAGCAAAAAGAAAAAAGCCGGAAGTGGGGCTATGGCTCAAGTGGTAAAGAGCTAGCCTTGAGCTGAAGAGCTGAGGGACAGCGCCCAGGCACAGAGTTCAGGCTCCACGACTGGACCCAAAAAAAAAAAAAAAAAAGCACAAAAAAATAATAATTTTAGGGCTGGGAAGGCAGCTCAGTGGTAGAGCGCTTGCCTTGCATGCCTGAGGCCCTGGGTTCAATTCCTCAGCACCACATAAGCAAAAAGAAAAAAGCCAGAAGTGGCACTGTGGCTCAAGTGGTAGAGTGCTAGCCTTGAGCTGAAGAGCTGAGGGACAGCACCCAGGCCCAGAGTTCAGGCTCCACGACTGGACCCAAAAAAAAACAAAAAACAAACAAAAATAATAATAATTTTAGGGCTGGGAAGGCAGTTCAGTGGTAGAGCACTTGCCTTGCATGCCTGAGGCCCTGGTTTCAATTCCTCAGCACCACATAAGCAAAAAGAAAAAAGCCAGAAGTGGCACTGTGGCTCAAGTGGTAGAGTGCTAGCCTTGAGCTGAAGAGCTGAGGGACAGCACCCAGGCCCAGAGTTCAGGCCCCACGACTAGACCAAAAAAATAATAATAATAATAATAATAATTTTAGAGCTGGAAAGGTGGCTCAGTGGTAGAGTGCTTGCCTTGCATGCATGAGGCCCTGGGTTCCATTCCTCAGCACCACATAAACAGAAAAAGCTGGAAGTGGCGCTGTGGCTCAAGTGGTAGAGCGCTAGCCTTGAGCTGAAGAGCTCAGGGACCGCGCCCAGACCTAGAGTTCAGGCCCCACAACTGACAAAATAATAATAATAATAATTTCATTGTTATTATTAAAGAGTTGTACAGAGGAGCTACTGTTTCATAAGTCAGATGATGAGTACATTTCCTTCTTTTCTTTTTTTTGACAATGTCATGAAGAGGCTATTCTTTAACAAATATTTTAACAAACACATATTTCTTCATTTTCTGAACAAATAGTTCAGGAATTTACCTAATCCTTTTATGAAATTACTTCCATTTATAGATCATTTGTCCTCCACCACTCCTTCCCCAGCTGTTCCCAGATTAGAGGCTGTCAGTGTGCTCTGTGTGCCAGGGCTGCTCCTGGCTTCCCACAGGCACATAGAGAACCACATAGATACCCAGCCCAGCTGTCCCCACTGGGTGCTAAGAAGCTCATCCCTGTTTCCATGTTCACAAACAGCCTGCCTATCACCAAGTTCCTTAAAAGTTCTCAACTTGACAGGCACTGATGGCTCATACCTGCAATCCCAGCTACTCAGGAGGTTGAGATCTGAGCATGGCAATTTGAAGCCAGCCCAAGAGGGAAAGTATATAAGATTCTTATCTCTAACAAAACTACCAACAAGAAGTAGTAGTGTAGCTGTGACTCAAGTGGTAGGGTGCTAGCCTTGAGCAAATAAAGCCCAGGGACAGTGCCTAGACCCTGAGTTCAAGCCCCAGGACTAGCAAAAAAATTTTAATAAATGAAGTTCTCAACTTTTCCCTCACACATCTTCTCCCTAACCCTGAATATGAGCATCCTAGGCACTTTGGTCCGCTTAAGCAGACTCATTTAAAGCTGGTTACATTTTTCAAATATTTTGTTATTATAAAGGTGATGTACAGAGGGGTTGCAATTATATAAGTCAGGTAAAGAGTACATTTCTTGCCAGGCTCTGGTGGCTCACACCTGTAATCCTAGCTACTCAAGAAGCTGAGGTCTGAAAATCATGGTTCGAAGCCAGCCCAGGTAGGAAAATTCATGAGACTCTTATCTCTAATAAACTACTCAGAAAAAGCCAGAAGTGGTGCTGTGACTTCAGTGGTAGAGTGCTAGCCTTGAGCACAGAGAGGCTCAGGGACAAAACCCAGGCCCTGAGTTCAAGCTCCCGGCCCCCTTCCCTCCTAGTCTCCTAGTTTTTCCCTCCCATCCCTACCCACAAGTTGTATTAGTTCATATTCAACATAATGTCTAATGAGTACCACTGCTAGATTTGCTTACTCTTTGTCCCTCCATTTCTCTGCCTCCCAAAGACAGATAAAAGAGTAAATAAGACAAGGCTGGGAATGTGACTTAGTGGTAGACTACTTGTCTAGCATGCATGAAGCCCTGGGTTCAAGTCCTCAGTACCACATAAACCAAAAAAGCTGGAAATGGCACTGTGGTTCAAGTGGTAAAGTGCTGGCCTGAGTTTGAGCCCAAGTACTGGACAAAAGAAATGAAAGGGAAACAGCAATAAAGAAAAAAAACTCTTGTTTCCATTTCCTGGAGTTCATTTCCATAAGTATTATTCTGTATGAACAGAGGTGCATAGGCATTGCCCTTTGTGTTCCTCTCCTAAGAGTATCCTCCTTTGGTCTCACTATGTGAAAGCTGGTCACATTTGAAGAATTTATACTTTTATTTAATGTTTATTTTAAAAATTCAAAGAAGTGTTAGAGCACATTCTTAGTATGTGCAAGATCCTGGGTTGATGAGCTGAGAAGTTGACCCAGTGGTAGAGTGCTTGCCTCGCATGCATGAGGCCCTGGGTTCGATTCCTCAGTACCACATAAGCAGAAAAAAGCCAGAAGTGGTGGTGTGGCTCAAGTGGTAGAGTGCTAACTTTGAGCTGAAGAGCTGAGGGGCAGTGCCCAGTCCCAGAGTTCAAGCCCCACCACCAGACCCCCCCCCCCAAAAAAAATGATCCTGGGTTGAGTCCAAAGAACAGAGAGAAAAGGAACTTGCTGTTGCCAGTGGCTCACGCACCTGTAATCCTAGTTAGTCATGCAGCTTAGATCTGTAGATCCCACTTCAAAGCCAGCTGGGCAGAAAAATGATACTTTTATCTCCAATTAACCAGCAGAAAGCCAGAAGTGAACTTGTGGCTTAAGTGGCAGAGCTCTGGCCTTGAGCAAAAAAAGTTTAGGGACAGCATTAGTGTCCAGGCCCTGAATCCAAGCTCCAGTACTGGCACACGCACGCGCGCGCGCGCACACACACACATACACACACACACACACACACACACACACACACACGAGGAGGAAGAGGAAAATGAGGAGGAGAAAAAGAATAAGAAGCAGCCACAAATGTCTCTTAATAGGAAAATAAGCAAGTGAGATGTCATGTATTATAAGGTAGAATATTTAGCAGTTAAACTCAGGATTAATACAGCTTATGAGTCAATACTGATAGAATTACATGTCATTTAAAGAAAGATATTTGAAGGCCTAAATATCTATAGACTAGTTTCCACAAGGATAAACATTTTAAAAAATGTTATTTAGAGAGGAAAATAATGTTTTAAAGTAACACATAAAGTATTATACTATTTCTATAAAAAGCAAAAATAGACAATCTATAGCTATACATCTTGATAAGAACAGACAGATACATGTAACAAACATTCTAGAAGGAAACACTTTAAAATCATCACATGGATTATCTCTAAGGAAAAGCATAGGAGACTAGGGTTGGACCAGACTCTTAACTTTTATTGAAAAGTAAAGAGGTGCCTGTGTTTTGTTACTTGTATATTTACAATTAATTTCTTACACTCTCAGCAACTTGTTTGCCATCTAATAGACTTCTAGCTTCTTGTATATACCAAAAGAAGCTAAAGAGTTTTCTATAAGAATATATTCCCCCAGAACCACACCCACCTTTCCACCCACAACACACCCTCCCAGCCAACTTCACCCCATTAAAAGAAGATGTCCCAAAGTCCTTGTTCACCTGCAACCCCTTTAGGGACCACAACAAATTCCAGGAAATGGCTCCTCACAGGAAGGGGAAAAAAGCACCAGCGTAACAGTGCCACTCTGTTAAGGATCCATAACCCTTCGCCCTTCCCTTAACGGTTTTGAGAGCAAAGCATTGGGAAATTCCTCACTCACTAGGCTAATGAAGGAGAGGATGGCCACTCCCCAGGTTTCGTACCTGTCAAAAACCACTGCAGAATATGCCCGCTCGGCAAAGATGACATCAGCCGCCCAAAACTCCTTTGTGGCCTTCAGACCCCTGCCTTTGCCCTCAGAAGTGAAGATCTCCACATTCTCCATGCCCCCTATTGTCATCTCAGAGCCTGTTAGGCCAGTGAGGTAGATATCACACTGCACCCAGCCTCTGGTGGCTGCTGCTATTTAGCACCTTCAGTGTCTCAAGAGCAGGACTATAAATGGACAGGCCACTTCCCCTTCCCCACCCCCCTGAGCCACTAGGCCCTTACCTCCCCCTCACCACTTTCCCTGGAAGCAGGCATGGGGAGGGAGCAAGAGGACAGTGACCTGATAGAAGTGACTATGAGTTCGTGTGGTCTTGGGATGGGTACTGCCAAGGTTTGAAAAGCTTGTTTTCAAGAAGAAACTATCTGCATGTGCCAAGTTCTAGACTTGCAGCCGTGTTCAGCTTGAGTTGGAACAAGGAGCTCTTGGTCAGTAGGGTATTTTTAGCAGCCAGATGCCTCTGTCAGTCTAAAGCAGCTGGTTAGAGTGGTCCAAGAGAAGAGACAAGGTGATATTTGCTGCTCTGGGACCCTTCAGCTGTCAGACTCACCCTTTCTCGGGTAAGATAGGCCCCTTGCCCTACCAACCCCCACACCCACATTCCTCCATCCAGGAATGTTGGCAGAAAGCCATAGAAACTAAACCAAGCCCTTTGGAATATACATATATATTCTACAAGGGTATCTCTTCTTTCCAACATCATCCCAACTTCAAGACATGGAGATCAGTTTCCCTCTTAGAATTGCTGATGTTACAGAATGTTGGATGTAGGCTGGGGACAATGAAGGCACACTTTTAAAATAATAACCCCTAAAAATCCCCATTGAACTAAATGTTACTTCTCTTTGGTGATGAGATAGGTATTACTGAAGTTAGGGCGGGGAGGGGGATGGAGGAAAAAAAGATAAAAAGCACTTGCAGATCTGGAGCTATGACTTATCTGTGTAATACTTTTAGCTTCCAGACACATCTGTTATAGTTTAAATGTGTCCATGGAGTTCATGTACTGGAAAGTGTAATCCTCAATGGCTCAGTGTAGAAAGGTAGAACTTTTAAATGATGTTAGCTCAGGAAGCTACACCCTCACAAATGAATTAATACCATTATCAGAACACTAACTCATATATTTTCTCTCTCTCCTCTCCCCCCCACCTCTCTTTCTCTCTCTGTGATGCCTCCCAGCATGTTGTGATACCAGCAAGAAGAATATCATCAAATCCAGCCCCTTCAACCTTGAGATCCATGAGTCAATACTTTTATTTATTATGTATTTCCCAGCCTCAGGTGTTCACAACGGCACACTTAATTATGTCATCTGGATCTATGAGTACTCACAAGCACTCATTTCTTTTTAAAAAAAAAATTACTGTAAAGGTGATATACAGAGGGGTTATAGTTACAGAAGCCAGGTAATGAGCACATTTCTTGTGAACTGTTACCCCTCCCTTATTTTTCCCCTCCCAACCACCCTCCTCCCCCAAGTTGTCTTTCCAATAAAGTGTCTAGTGAGTATCACCACTGAATTTCTGTGCTTCCTTTTCCCCTCCCCAAATCAGATAAACCTACATACAAGACAAAAGGTACAGAAATCAAACACAGCAACAAAAGAGAATAAACCAAAGGAAAAAAGAAACACAAACAACAAAACAACCTTGGGACTAAGAAGGTGGCTCAGTGGTAGAATGATTGCCTGCATGCATGAAGCCTGGGATTCGGTTGCTCAGCACATAAGCAGAAAAAGCCAGAAGTGGCGCTGTGGGTCAAGTAATAGAGTGTTAACCTTGAGCTGATGAGCCTAGGGACAACATCCAGGCCCAGAGTTCAGGCCCCACGACCGATTAAAAACAAACCAAAACAAAACAATAAAACAACATCTTGCAGTCTTGTACAAAAAAAAAAAAATACTCTTGTCTCCATTTCTTGTAGTTCATTTCAATAAGCATCACTTTATATGACCATATGCATAGAGCTATTAAGCCCTTGTGATTCTCTCCTAAGAATATTGTCCTTTTGCTGGGTGCTCTAGTACTCAGGAGGCTGAGATCTGAGGATCACTGTTCAAAGTCAGGGCAGGAAAGTCCATGGGGGGGAGGGGGGGGGTGTCAGGTCATGGGGCCTGAACTCTGGGCCTGGGCGCTGTCCCTCAGCTCTTCAGCTCAAGGCTAGCGCTCTACCACTTGAGCCACAGCACCACTTCCTGCTTTTTTTCTTTTTGCTTATGTGGTGCTGGGGAATTGAACCCAGGGCCTCATGCATGCAAGGCAAGTGCTCTACCACAGAGCCACCTTCCCAGCCCCGTTGTGAGAGATTCTTATCTCCAATTAACCACCAGAAAACTGGAAGTGGGGCTGTGACTCAAGTGCTCAAGTGGTAGAGCGCTCACTTTGGGCTGAAGAGCTCAGAAACAGTGCCGAAGCCCAGAGTTTAAGCCCCATGACTGACAAAAAAAAAAAAAAAAATCCTTTGTTCTCACTGTATAAATGTTTAGAATGCTACTTATTAATTATGTCTAAGTGTAATTATTTTGTCTTTTGCTATCAATTGGGATTACTTGTAGATTTATAGGCACATTCTAATTATTACAAATGAGGGAATCCATGCAGCCTATGTTTCTTTGGGTCTGGCTTACTTCACTTAATATAATTTTTTCCAGGTCTTTCCATTTCCTTACAAATGAAACAATGTCATTCTTTCTGATGGAAGAATTCCATTGTGTATATATACCATATTTTCTTTATCCATTCATCCACTGAGGAACATCTGTGTTGTTCCATAGCTTAGCTATTATTAAACAATGCACAAACATTCAATTCTCAGTCAAATAAAACTGAGTTTGAATTATTGTACAAGGGGGGGTGTGTACATGTGCATGTGTATACAAGTGTGTCAGCTATAGGTCTAGATCTTAGACCCTGGGATTCATCCCTTAGTTTTTTTGCTCAAGGCTCTTACTCTACTGCTTGAGCTACAGCCCCACTTCTAGATTCTTGCTTGTTAATTGGAGATAAGAGTCCCTTATCTGGGCTGGCTGTGAACTATGATCCTCAGAACTCAGCTTCCTGAAGAGCTAGGATACAGACATGAGCCACCAGTGCCAGGCTGGGTTTAGATTCTAAGTCTGCTTCTACCACCTTCAAATGAAACCTATAAAACAAGGGTGATAATTTCTACTGGATTGTTGAGAGGGTTGAATGAGGTGATGTGTATTGGGCCACAGCACTCAGAACTTAAAGTATTAATTAAATGGTGCCTATTTTATTTTAATGACTCCTTTCCATTATCTTCCCCAAGTTATCAGGATATGCCAAAATGTACAATGTGTCTTCTACCAAAACATAGCTGGGAAGGTGGCTTAGTGGTAGAGTGCTTGTCTAGCATCATGAAGCCCTTAGTTTGATTCATTAGTACCTCATAAACAGAAAAAGCAAGAAGTGGTACTGTGGCTAAAGTGGTAGAGCGCTAGCCTTGAGCAAAAGAAGCTCGAGAACAGTGTCCAGGTCCTGAGTTCCATCCCCAGGATTGGGAAAAAACAAAAACAAAACTTCACATTTTCTCGAATTTCTTTGACTCTCAGAAGCCTATCCAAAATCCTTTGTCAGACCATGTTCCCTGATTCTTACATCAGAATGATACTGCAGTTAGGCTCATCTATGTGTGAGGTATGGCTCACACCTTTATCTTAGCTACTTTAGGAGGCTGAGAATGGGAAGGTAATGGTTCAAAGTCAATCCAAGTAGAAAAGCTCACAAGACTTTTCCAATCTATACCTGGACATAGTGGTATAGGCCTGGCATCTCAGCTATGACAGGAAGCCAAGTGGTCCACTTGTCCATTATCTTGGCAATCATCTCAGGATACAGAACTATATGGGTGCCAAGAAGTAGATCTAGTATACTATTGGTCTTAAGATATTCAGTAATCAGGTCTATTGTTCATGGGATACAAGTCCAGAAAGACTCAGGAGAGCACAGAAGAAAAGATAGGAGACAAGATGGAGTCAGAAACAAAATGGAGTATTCTAGGTTAGTGATCAGGTTCTCTTTCAAATCTCTGCTCTCAAGCTATCTTTCTATTTCTATGGGAGTGGGGCCAACCTGACACAAGAACACATTCACGGACACTAAAGGATGCCTCAGTGATTTCAGATCCACCTGAAGAGTAAAACAACTTAAGATATTTAAAACTGGTGACTCACAAAACCAAATGGTAAATGCCAGATGCAGTGGCACACACCTGTAATCCCAGCTACTCATGAGGCTGAGGCAGGAAGATCACAAGTTTGAGGCCAAGCCTGGGCAAAACTTGGTCTTAAAAAAAAAGTACAGGGCTGGGAGTGTGGCTCAGTGGTAGAGTGCTTGCCTAGCATGCATGAAACCCTGGGTTTGATTCCTCAGTACCACATACACAGAAAAAGCCGGAAATGGTGCTGTGGTTCTAGTGGTAGAGCACTAGCCTTGAGCAAAAGAAGCTCAGGGACAGTGCCCAGGCCCTGAGTTCAAGCCCCAGGACTGGCAAAAAAAAAAAAAGTACAGACATGCTAACCTCCAATGAATATCCTGCTGCATCTATATTGCTCCACAGGCTGATTGCAACAATCAGAATTAAGGTATTCTCTGGACACTATATACCAGAACAGATTCAGCCCAAGCTATGGTCAGAGAAGAAATCTACCTGGCCTGAGACCAGCAGGAAAGAGGAAGCACCAAGGTCAGAGCTTTAGTTCTATCTATGAGTACCAATTTTGTTAGAACAACGATGGTTATATATTACTTAGGTGTAATAGGCAACATATTGGCTCCACAAAGATATCTAGGTGCCAATCCCAAGAGCTATGAATGCTACCTTACTCACATTGCTATGGATGGAATGTCCCCACCAAAATTCCTGTTTGAAATGTAATCTCCATCCTGAGGCAAGCCAGGTGAAGGAGGGACACTGAGGCATTGAAAACAACAACAACAAAGTGAGTTAAGATCCAGAAGCTAAGAATTATCACCATGCTAATAGACAATGTGAAATCTAACCTTGCTTTTAACCTTGACTGTAATGACTTGCTCTAGATAACTTTATCCTGAGTAAATATCTCAACTAAAACATCTAGTAAGACTCATCCCTGAATTAGAAGGAGATCTTGTTAGAGGAGAGTA